TCCAGACCAATCCACAATCCTATACCCTGGATTAGATTATACCCTGGATTAAAGTACATCTTTCTCTCAAGCAAGTATGAAAACAGGGCTTCACAAACATTTCCATCCCCTTAAGGTAATAACAACTGTCTCTCAACAAAATTTGCCTGAATGTTGGAAGGTAATATGTTTCTGTGAGCCTTGTACATAAACAGTAAAATATTATATTTAACCAAATCATAGAATTTCTAAATTTTCAGTTTGCAAAATAATGTATTTGATGGATGGTTGTAATGTTTTCTAGTGATAATTCTTACAGCTCTTTTCTGTAAAATAAAAATCGGATTGSTAATTGTTTTGCAAGCTTTRCCCCAGACTTCAATACAATAGATWAAATGTGGAACAATTATTGCATTAAATAACACAAGCAGAGCTTTAACTCYCTGACTTTATACAGTACTCTTAATAGATTTAGATATTTTTGTTCTTAAATAATGTATGATAATAGATAATTTTCCTCTTTCTTTTGTCAGCAAACTCTGGAGCTCAGTCCTCGTACCTGATCCGGTTCCTCCTGCTGCCGATGATCCGCAGCGTGCTCAACAACATGTACGAGATGGAGCACTTCCTGCAGAAAACAGAGGACATCAGCTGGACCGTGGTCCGGCCCCCCGGCCTCAAAAACCTGCCGGCCTCAGGTGAAAGCAGCGCCGTTGTTCGTTGTTCGAGGAAAACAAAACGCCGTGTCGACATGCTTGTGTCTCCTCCGCAGCTCAGGAGTTTCTGACCCATGAGGGATACTTTGTTCCCGGCGGCGGCGGTCAGCCGGCTCGCAGCTCGGTGGGCAGAGGGGACGTGGCTCGCTTCATGCTCTCTTTGCTCAACAACAACGCCTGGGTCAAACAGGGCGTCGCCATCACCACCAAGTGAGGGGAAAACACCAGAGGGACAATGATTTACCTTTCAGTCGGACATGTCTCCGTGCTCGTCACCCACYGTTTTTACCAAAGATGTCGTGCGATTCGTCAGAGCTTCAATAATSTGTTRGGGATCAGTCTCAGCTACTACCACATCAAATATTAGCTCAATRTCTGTCAAATTAACYGAGTTACAGCCAATGTTTTTACTGCTAATGTCAGTTAGCTGGGGCAGCMATCTTGAAGCTTTACTTTCTGAGAGTTTCAATCAGGTTCATGAGATATTTTGCTAACAATCACACACAAATTAGCCCACCAATATTAAGTATAAGTAATATTAAATAAGGTTTTCTCTTCACSCATTAGAAATAGTTTTATTTTTGCGTCTGGGGTAATTTAGAAACTAATTAAAACGTTCTTAATTAGTTTCTGTTTTTGCAGCATCTTCTCTCTTTCAAAAAGTGTCGTTGGTTCTGTTCTAATTACAGATTTCAGTAAAATGAAGAGAGGATGGGCTCRCGCCGAGAAACAGTTGCTTTTTAAGTAGAAACATTACATAACTCTTAAAAAGTAAAAGTGTTTTCTTGTTGAGATGCTGCCACAGCAGGAAGGGATTTTATTTGTTAGTTTTAGTTTTTTTTTACGTCAAACAGAAAAAAATAGGTTTTAATAAGTTATAACTTTACATGCTTTGACCCGTTTCTGCCTTTTTAAAAATTAATTGTCTTTAATGAGCGACGTGATGTTGTGCCTCCTTTCARCCACATGACTGCAGCATACAGCGRGTAAAATAAGTWTTGAACACGTCAMCATTTTTCTCAGTAAATATATTACTAGAGGTGCTAATGACATGAAATTTTCACCAGATGTTGGTAACAACCCAAGTGATCCATACATACAAAGAAATCAAACCATAAATGTCCAGAAAGGAAGTTATTTGTAATAATGTGGAATGGCACAGGGGAAAAGTATTGAACACACTTACTGAAATTTATCTAATACTTTGTACAAAAGGCTTTGTTGTCAATGACAGCTTCAAGATGCCTCCTGTATGGAGAAACTAGTGGCATGCATTGCTCAGGTGTGATTTTGGCCCATTCTTCCACACAAACAGTCTTCAAATCTTGAAGGTTTCGTGGACCTCTTCTATGAACTCTGATCTTTAGTTCTTTCCATAGATTTTCTGTTGGATTCAGGTCAGGTGATTGGCTGGGCCATTCCAGCAGCTTTAGTTTCTTTCTCTGAAACCAACTGAGAGTTTCCTTGGCTTTGTGTTTGGGCTCATTGTCTTGCTGAAATGTCCAGCCACGTTTCATCTTCATCATCCTGGTAGATGGAAGCAGATTTTTTTGTCAATAATGTCTCTGTACATTTTTTCCACTCATCCTTCCTTCAATTATTTGAAGTTTGCCAGTACCATATGCTGAAAAACAGCCCCACACAATGATGTTCCCACCTCCAAACTTCACTGTTGGTATGGTGTTTGTTCAGCAGTGGAGTCTTGCGTGGTGAGCGTGCATACAGGCCATGGTGGTTCAGTGCATTACTTATTGTTTTCTTTGAAACAATCGTACCTGCTAATTCCAGGTCTTTCTGAAGCTCTCCACAAGTGGTCCTTGGCTCTTGGACAACTCTTCTGATAATTCTTTTCACTCCTCTGTCAGAAATCTTGTGAGGGGCACCTGGTCGTGGTCGGTTTATGGTGAAATAATGTTCTTTCCACTTCTGAATTATGGCCCCAACAGTGCTCACTGGAACCTTCAGAAGTTYAGACATTCTTCTGTAACCGATGCCATCATTATGCTTTGCAACAATAAGGTTGTGAAGGTCTTGAGAGAGCTCTTTACTTTTACCCATCATCAGATGGTTTGATTTCTTTGTATGAATGGATCACTTTGGTTGTTACCAACATCTGGTGAAAATTTCATRTCATTAGCACCTCTAGTAATATATTTACTGAGAAAAATGTTGACGTGTTCAATACTTATTTTACCCGCTGTATAATTCAGATCAACTCTCTCTTAAATCAGTTTCTCTTTTAATCACAGCATAAAATGATCCTTTGAGGGAAAATCTCTGAAGATGTTGCACTGAAACCTTAAGATAAAATATTCTGTACAATATTAAAGATTTTTTGCATTAAAACTCTGAATTTAACATGAATTTGTTGCCGTTTTGTTTTTTTTCCAAACTGCATCCAAAGTTCAACTGTAAATGTCACAAAGCATGAAAAGGTTAYGTTACAGAAATAAATACACATCTTTGTTAGATTTCATCAGAATCACTTGTTTTTATTAATTTACAGAAAAGCTTTTACAAAATAAATATATATTCAAAAAGGAGTCAAACTGTACATGACGCATACACTGATTTACTTAAACTGAAACAGATTTTGAAACTTCACAATACTTGTCAACAGATGTTTTTGTCCAACATCCAGATGTGCATAAAACTTTTTAAAAGAGGTATCAGAAATAACCCATTTTATGGTCAAGAATCTTGCATCACAGTGAATTTCTATTTAAAAACTATTTTAAAAAATGTCATAAAAATGATAAAAGTGAATGTTTTTGTTGGTGAGATGAAGGTTTTATGTGCAAAATACAAAAGCTGACACAACAGAGCAGCTTTTTTTTCTACCTTTCCCCTCATTGCCATCAGCTCTACTGCTTTTCTGTCGTCTCTGCGTACATTTCGTCAATTTTATCCTGGTACATTTTCACAACAATGGCCCTCCTCAGTTTCAGGGTGGGTCCTGCACGGATAAAAGAGGAAAAACAAAAGAAATGGTGATAAATACTTGTTTATTTGATGTAAATGTGCAGYTTCTGCAGAGTAGAGCTGTGCATTAAAACATTAGATTTAATCCCTGCAGAACAAACAGAACTGGAACAATGTTTGCTTTTATATAACTAATAAGTTARACATTAATGCTTCCTCCTTTCATAACATGATTTTAATCAGATAAGGGAGAAAAACAGCAGGTGTGTCGGTGCTGACCCAGTTCTCCTCCGCTCACAGAGAAGTCTCGCTGCAGGACGACCCACTTCTGGACCTTCTGGGCGTTGGACGTGGACCGGGCGTTGACTCGCTCCAGCCCCTCCTGGATGGCTTTGTAGACCGCTGCCTCCTTWTTGGCTACGATCTCCGACACCTTGGTGGCCTTGACGCCGCGCTGCCGGCAGAAGTCCAGTGCTTCGGGGCTCAGGTCGTCCGTGGGGTCGCCGTTGTCGTCCATCACACACTGCGGGTTGAAACAAACAAAAAAAAAGTGTGCTTATTGATGCGGCAGCTGAGGGGATCGGCCCGCAGCGACGAAGACTCGGTTACTTTGAGCGTGAGGAGCATGGAGAGGAACTTGAGCTTGTCTCCCACCAGCATGGCGTTGCTGATGATGGGCACCTCGCTCTTCAACGCCTCCTCGATGGGAACCGGAGGRATGTTCTCGCCGCCGGCAGTGATGATCAGCTCTGCAGAAATGACAAACTTTACACAACCTGTCGTTTGGTTTTCACCTCAGAGAGTCAGCATTTTTGAAGTTAAACTTCATAATTTGGCTTTTTTGAAAAAAGAATAGAAAATTTTATAAATGTGATGGAGTCAATGTCACAAAAAAAAGAAAAAAACCCTCATAAATGCACTTTTTTAAACTGCATAAGTGATGCATTTAGTCCTGAAATGATCAGCAGAGTTGTAAAGTAACTAAGTCCAAATACTTTTTTACTGTACTTAAGTAGAAATTTTGGTTAGGTCAGTGTCAATTTGTCAATGTCAGTTTATTTATATAGCACATAAAAACAACAAAAGTTGACCAAAGTGCTTCACAATTCAGTCAAATGAATAAAACAACAGAGCAACACGTAAATGTAAACAATAAGATCAATTTAAAATAGAGAAAAACCTTAAAAACACTTTCTTTAAAATAATCTCAAACTCAACCAGAATTAAAGGCCAGGAAGTAAAAATGAGTTTTAAGCAGAGATTTAAAAGTCTCAACAGTCTGTACTTTACTTGAGTAATTATTTGTCAGCCTACGTTTTACGTCTACTCCTTACATTTTTAAAAAAGTTTAGAAGTAGAGAGTCATTACTCCTATTTCATTTCAGCTTGTTATTGTTAAAAAAATACTATCCTGAAAAATTGTGTCTCCTGGATTGTGTGAATTTAATAGTGGTTGGATGAGAAGTATAAATATATACCATTCTGATACTGTATTTAGTTTGTATACAATTAATCAAAGCTGCACGCCATTAGAAAAAAAACATTTTTTGAAGAGGTCACCTTCCAATAAATGTATTTTGGAAAACCTAACCATTCATTTTTACTCAGTACTTTTACTTTTATCACTTAAGTACATTTTATGTCAGAAATTTACTTTTGATACTTCAGTACAAAATAAATTAGATAATTTAAGACTTTTACTCAAGTAATATTCTTAGAGGAGACTTGAACTTTTACCAAAGTCATTTTATGATAAGATACTTGTACTCAAGTATCACTTTCTGGTACTTTATACAACACTGATKATCAGTGAGATCATTTCTAGAAAAAGACTAATTGTTCCATGAGTTTTTAAAATAAATAAAGTGACTACAACTCAGTCAACTTTACAATAGAATAGAATAAAACTAATAATATAACTTTTTAATATTTACATTTATTTAGCCAAAATTTTATTAAGGTTTGACCAGAACAACTTTGTAATTCTTTCATAATAAAATGTTCTTAGATTTCTGRCACAAAAACAGCAAGTAATACATATTTATTTCCTTTAACTACCACCTTATGCGCTTAAAATTACAATTTTTTTGTATTTTTTTAAATAAGCATTTTTAAATTTTAAACTTTAAAATCTCAACAGTTGTTCTTGTTTTAAAGTTAATTTCAGATGTTTTTATAATTCAAAAGAATTATTAAATTAAAATAAAACAAACAAAACAAACTTTTCTTTTTTTGTCATGTTTTTCTACATTTGTTTTGTCAGAAAAATCAGGTTTCTAAAGCGATTAAACACAAAGCTACTTAGGGGAATAAAAATACGAGTGAGTTTATTTGTGCTTTGTGTGTGGAAATAAATCTTTGTGTTTGTGCAACAATGTCCTGAAAACCAAACCAGCCAAGCAGCCAAGAAAAGTTTCAGCTGAATTACATAAAATGTGACAAAGGGTTCAGATAACAGTTGCTGTTATTAAAGAGGCCTCTGAGGTCAGCAGAAGGTTCAGCTCACCTTTGATCCTTCCTGTGATGTACAGGAAGTCGTCCTCGTCGTGTTTCCCCAGGTCTCCGGAGCGCAGCCAGCCCTCCTCGTCCAGAGCCTCCTCCGTTTTGTCGGGCATGTTCAGGTAGCCCATGAAGACGTGACGACCCCAGAAACAGATCTCCCCGTTCCCGTCCGCGTCCGGKTCCACCAGCTTCGTCTTGCAGCCCGGCACCACTTTCCCACAGCTGCAAACCGGAAGTCAAAACCATTCTCATGTAGTCATTTGGCTTCTCTTCCAATATTTTTCATTGCTTTTATCGACCATGCAGCTCTTATCAGCGATATTTTTTATTTCTTCCGAAGCAGCACTAGGGAACAAACTCAGCAAATAAACGGTGAACAACAAGAAGCATAAAACACGAGAGCTGAAACACTTGCTGACAACTGAAACYTAAATATAAAACTGTCTGAAGCTCTAGACCAGAGGTTCGGGTCCCAGGACCCCCAGGGGTCTGCGAGCAGTATCTTGGGGTTCCTCACAAACTTCAATAAATTGTTAATTTGGTTTTTATTTAAAAAAAAACGTATATGGGGAACAAAGCACTGATATAATAAACCTCCCAAAAAATGATGTTACCACAGTATTTATGGCTAAAAATGACAGGAAATTATTTTTAAGACAGCATGGGGTTTATGAGAGGGTCCCTGGAAATCTTTCATCCTTGTAAGTGGTCCCCAGATGCAAAAACTTTGAGAACCCCAGCTCTAGACCACTTAAATAGGTGAGATGACCCATAATGCTTTGCTGCTGACCTTCCGGTGCGATACTCGGTGATGGAGAGGGTGTGCGGCCCGGAGCTTTCGCTCATGCCGTACAGCTCCCTCACTGGGATGTTCAGGCTCAGGAAGTACTCCARGGTTTCTTTGGTGATGGGAGCAGCTCCGGTGCAGCAAATCCTGCTGCGGTCGAACCCGAGGGCGGCCCGGACCCTCTTAAACACCAGGTTGTTGGCCAGCATGAAGCCCCACGGCACCACGTTCTCCCTGCGGCACGAACACGCCAGTTAAAAACCGTCAGCGCTTTCATCCAACAGTCCTCGCCGCAAACTCACCCTTTCATCATGCTGTAGTTATACTGCAGGCCGATGGACTTGGCCCAGTCCGACAGCCTCTTCTTCAACGGGGACACTTTGGCGCCAGCGGCCTTCATCCTTTCCTGCATCTTCTCCCAAACCCGAGGAACGCCCAGGAACCCGGTTGGGTGAACCTCTTTCAACGTGTTTACCAAGGACCCCTGAAAGAAACAAGTAACCGGTCAAAAAAAAAAAAAAAGCAGCCAGCCGTGGACAACTCCGCCGTGAAAACTCTTCCTCGCCTTGAGGGCATCCGGCTCCGCGAAGTACACGGTYCCCGCGGCGCTCATGCAGACCCACATGTCGATCATCTGGGCCGCCACGTGGCTGAGCGGCAGGTAGCTGACGAGGACCTCCTCTCCATGGTTTGGATTCAGGATAACCGACGCCGTTCGGGCCGTCCACGAGATCTGACGAGGGAGAAGACGGAGGGGGGGTGATATTTTTAATAACCACTAAAACCAGTTCAAAACCAAGTCATCCACAGAAACATCAGCCTAAAAACAGAGCAGGAAAGGTCTGCATTGGGCCGTAAAGGTAGAAGTCAACCAGTTTCTTTCAATCTGTTTTTCTATTACAGCTCAACATTGTCCAGTGGAAGCAATCAATAACCATCAAAAGTCGACAATCTCTCAAGGAGTGGACCTGGTCCTGTTGTTTTTGACCCCATAAAAAAAGCATCGCCTCCTGTTACTCACGTTGTCATGGCTCAGCATGACCCCTTTAGGGTTTCCAGTGGTTCCAGACGTGTAGATGAGCGTGCAGCACTGGTTGGCCCGGAGGCTGTCGATCACAGAGTCCAGCCKCTCGTCGGAGACGTCTTCTCCGAGCTGCATGAACTCGTCCCACTGCAGAAACGCGCAGAGTTCACGTTAAATCCACGTCTCTCCTTCCAACCAAAACTGAGCCACAACYGCTTTGTGCTTAAGTTTAATTACCTTAAATTACAAATTAAATAAAAGGTGATAAAACATCACTCATGCACGATATAAAAGCAAATGTCTTTAACACGTTTGCTGTGTTTACATACTGTGTAAAGGAACGGCGTTTTCTGCTGCAGCTCGCCTTTATACTGGACGATGGCTTTCAGGTGAGGTAACTGATCTTTAACCTGACGGGCGAGACACAATCACACGGTCAGGTGAGGCGAGWTTCACAGCTTTACTGTAAAAAATAAGGGACGAAGCTCCTGACCTTCAGGATTTTGTCGAGTTGTTTCTGGTTTTCYACAACCAGGACGTTTGCCTCGCAGTTGGCAGCGACGTACTCACAGGCTTCGGGGGAGTTGGTCGTGTAAATACCAGCCGCCAGACCCCTTTGACGCAAACAAAACACGAATTTACTTTTTTTTCTTTAAATGATTCACTGCTAAAGAATTTTCTGGCTGCTAATTACTTGCTATCTGATTCATTCGAGCAAAAGTTCATTTCTGTTGAATCTTTTAACCTTTTAAACTAATTTTTAACTGTCTAGAATCAGGCTGAAATTGCACATCAAATAGAAAGTAACTAGGGATATTTTGCTAACAGACAAACCAATGGTCCACTTTTTATTGTAGAAAGAAACCAGTAAAATCAGTCATTCACGGGAAGTAAAATTTACAAAATACTTATTAAAGGCCCTGTCACACAAAACAACTTATGCTAACTTATGAAACATTTTTAATGTTTAAATTGCTAACAAAATTTATATATTTGATCAATTTGTTCAAATTAAATTATGTACACGCCAAAAAGAAGCTTCCTGWTGATTTTTTCAATTCCATCTTCAGAGTAGATGTCTTTAAAATGTTCATAAGTTGGCATAAGTTGTGTAGTGTGACAGGGCCTTAAAAGCCATGATAGTAAATCCTGAAATTTATAGATTCACCCAGATTTCGATACACAAGCTGCCAGATCTCAGCATCACCGTGGCTGACTTCTAAACCAAAGTTCTCTCGTCCCCATCGTGTCTTTTCCCTCGACCCGATCCAGTTTGATTAAAAACACAAACAGACACAGAACATGTGAAACACACACACAAACGCATGACCTCACCCTGCCAAGATGCAGCCCACGTCTGAGATGAACCACTCCGGAGAGTTGAATCCCAGAATGCCGACTCCGTGGAAACGTTCCAGGCCCAGCTGCACATGAAAACAATATTCACCCTGTTCATAATATTATACAGATATAGACCCAAAGATGGGACTTTTCTAGATGATAAAAAAAATCACTAGTGCAAAGTATAAATATGCAATTCGATACATTTCCAAATGTGAGCAGAACATGAGAGCAGACTCCATGGCTGAAAAACTTTTATGTAATAATGTTACTGGCTTTTGGAATGAGGTAAGAGCTTTAAACAGGTCTGCTGCATTACTCCCCAGCGCCACAGAGGGCATATCTGGGGCTCATAATATAACAGAGCTTTGGAGACACCATTATTTTGACTTATTTAATTGCATTAAAAGTGAACCCTATAAATGGGAAGCATTGCTGAGAGTGATACAGTCATAATCAACCCTATTGAAGTCAAGCAAACTATAGCATACTTGAGTGAGAACCAGGCAACAGGTTCAGATAGCATTACAGCAGAACATCTGAAATATGCCAGTCAAAAAGTTGCTGTGTTACTTGCTATGTGTTTCTCTGGGTTTATGACTCATGGGCAGCTGCCTGATTCCTTATTATCTGTTACTCTGGTGCCTGTAATTAAGGATAAAACTGGCAAGTTTGGACGCTTGGATAATTACAGACCGATAGCTCTAGCTATAGTGTGACATCAAAGGTCTTAGAGAAAATACTGCTTGGTCATCTTAATCAGTTCATTTGTACAAACGATAATCAATTTGGTTTCAAAGCCAAGTTGGGAACTGATTTCTGTATTTATGGCCTGAAAGAGACAGCAAATGCATATATAAGAAAACACTCATCTGTGTTAATTGGGTTTATTGATGCCTCTAAGGCCTTTGATCGAGTCAACCATTACAAGTTATTTGATAAATTAAAAGAGAGAGGAGTTCCAGACAGCATTTTAAGAATTTTAGTTTACTGGTATKCTAACCAGAAAATACATGTAAAACAGGGCAATAACATTTCTGCCTCTTTTGGGGTGAGTAATGGTGTGCRTCAGGGTGGGCTTCTTTCACCTGCATTGTTCAACTTGTTTATGGATGATTTGTCTAAASAACTGAACCTTTGTAAAACTGGATGTATGATCAGTGATACTTTGGTTAATCACTTTATGTATGCTGATGATCTGGCTGTCCTCTCACCCAGCAGTGCTGGTTTTCAGCAGTTGTTGAATGTCTGCTCTGATTAAGGTTTTACATATGATGTGCAGTATAATGCCAAGAAAAGTGTTGCGCTAATATGCAGGACAAAAGCAGACAGAGAACTTTGTTTTCCTGATTTTTTTTTTTTCTGTCGGGGTAAAAGTTAAATGTATGCACTAAAACCAAGTATCTGGGTCACTTCATCACAGACCAGCTCTGTGATGATGATGACATGTATCGGCAGTGTCGCATATTATATGCCCAGACCAATATTTYGATGAGGAAATTTCATATGTGTTCAGGTAATGTAAAGATATGTTTATTTAAATCTTACTGTACATCTCTGTATACTTCCATCCTGTGGTGTAAATTTAAAATAGCTAGTATGCAGAAGCTTAAAGTTGCTTATAATGACTCCTTGAGAGTTCTGCTAAAAAAAATACCCAAATTCAGTAGTGGAAGTGAGATGTTTTGTAGTGCTCATGTCAAGACATTTCAAGCACTTATGACAAATTAAATATACAAATTTATGTGTCGTTTGTGTAAATCTAAGAACAGTYTTATTTTAATGTTGTCACATCCTTCTGGGAGTGCATTACGCTACCAGTCATCTTTATGGAAATACTGGTATGCAAGTCTTTTATACGTTTTTTCTTTTCTGTTTTGTATTATGCTTGTTTTTTGTCTCTTTTATGTTAACGTGGACCATGAGTCTATTGAATAAACTAATCAATCATTAATAACAATACGGTGGATCCAAGGCTCAGTTCCTATTCCTTTGACCCACATGTAGTCACAAAAGCCAGGAAATACTCCCAGGATTTAGTTTTCAGCCCTCGGAGAGCAAAGCAGGGGACAGAACTCAAAAGGTTTGTGTAAAAATGATGATTTCTGGCAGTTTCTGTTTCTGTGTTTATTGAAAGTGTGACTTTAAAGTAACACCTGTGCAGAGATAAAAGTGCATTTCTTTGTTAAAGCTTCCAGAATACTCAATTAAAAACACCAACCTTGAGGAAACCTTTAGCTGCTGCTCGGCACTGCTCGTAGTACTGCCTCCAGGTCAGGGTGGCCCATCGCCCGTCCTTCTTGGAAACCAAAGCCGGGTGATCCCCGTACTGTTCCACCGTCTCCAGGAACATCTGGTGGACGGTGACGGGGGTCTCCGAGCCCGGGCCCGAGTCCTCCATCCTCAGTCTGACCGCCCGGTCTCTGCGGGAGACCCACAGCTGCTCTGCGGGGGCCAGGGTGGTGCCCAGGCTGGCGGCAGACAGGCGAACGGCCCTGGGCTCSTCTGCTTTGGAACAACAGCTGCATTTACTCGCCATTRATGGAAAYGAATGTTTGTTTGTTTTTTCTCAAAATAAAACAGCGAGCAGTGGCGGTTCAGAGGCAGAGAGGGAGGCRTGTGGGAGGAATGAAAACACCCCTGCAGGTGAGTCCAACCTGCTGGGCCATGATTCGTAGCGGGCAGGGACGTTACCTGATAYGGAACAGGCAGTGTGGAATGTGCTCACTCACCCCACCAATCAGCTTTGATCAGGACTTACTGAGGCGTAAGATCAGGATTTAAAAGATTTCCCTCTTATTGTTTCCATTCYATTATTTTTCCTTTTCGTAGAAGAAACTAAAACGCTCTTTTGTCTGCTCCTTTTGCAGAAAAAAAAAACCCTCAAGTTTCTCCACGCCTGAGCAGATCTGCCTCCACAGAAACATTCAACTGCTCTCAGAATTTGCACTAATTATATTTGATTTTTATTATTTATGATTATATTAGGTCCACTCTGTCCTACTGAGACAGTCAGAGACATTCAGTACCTGGTAAATGTCCTCCGTTTGGCACAGGACATTTGGGAGATTTGGCGGGACATTCAGGGGAAACCTTTGAAACTGGATCAGCTTTTCCACAGATCCTCACGCTGGAGTTTGTTTCTACGTCCGTCCCATTTTCCTTCTGAGAGCAGACGCTAAAACATCCAAAGAAAACAGCATAAATCAAATTACGATGACAAACAAGCAGACTATTCTTTTTTTTTTTAACCTACCCGTCGGCGTTGCYGTCAGTTTCCGCCACGCTGCTCGTGACTGGACTCTCTTCAAAACTCATTATTTATATTTGCTAGAAACACGAAGGAAAAACAAAACAAAGGAAAAGAAGCTGTTAACCGAGCGACGCTCCGGKCAGATAAGACGCACTGTTCAGAACCAGAAGCATTTATACGACGCTGACATTCAGTGAAGTCACTGCAACAGGTCAGAGCGAAACGCTGATCCACATGTTGAAACTCTAAACATTGTGCCAGAACAGGCATTGCTTCATCCGCCGGGCACGGATTATACYGCGTGCCTGAAAAACGTGGCCACCTTTAACCTAAATAATCATTAAACCTTTGTCTTCACTTTGACATTAAGTGTCTGCATTCTTCTTTACAAACAAATCAATCAGCTATTTGAGTTTATTTTTACAGATAAATTAGTGTTGCTTCATTAAAACCCTCATATGTGTGGTCTTTTTATCCTTTATCCCTTATTACTTTCTTAGTATCCTATACAGTGCTTGATCTTTTTCGTCTGCTTGTCTCTTGGCATTCAGTGTGGTCGGCAAAATAAGAATTTCATTGCTCAGGGAAACATGTTTCACCTTTGTATATGACAATAAACACTTTGCATCTTGAAGCTTTGAACTTGCATAAAAATGAATAAAAAACACGTTAAGTTAGAATTTCCCAGATCTAAAGGATTATTAAGATTTCTCAGGTCAAGACTTTTCTGAACCAAAGTTCATAAAACTTACAAAAGTGGCGTGTGGCAAGAAAAAAATCTTTGCTCCAAATTGTGTAAAAGTGACTCCAAGTGTCCTGGGTAGCAGAAAAAAAAATTGAGACTCAGATTTGATCATCAACCAGAAAAGCAGCTAAAAATCAAAAGCAGCAATAATGAGAAATAAAAAAAATACAAATTAATAATGTTAATTTAAGCCCGGTCTGACAAAAACTGAAATGACATCTTACCTCGTCTGTCTCCCTCAGCTGAGTGGCATCAGTCAAGTGTTGACCTTTAACCCTTTCCGGAGCTCGACCTTTGCCCTCGGTGGAAAGTATCAACCTTTAGRCGACCTGGACGAGGTCAAAGTCCTTCCCAGCCTTCGCCTGTAGAAACTCACRCACGGCTCCTGACTCTTCAAGGTGAAGGAACCCAGCACTGAAGCAGTGTTTGGACCGAACGCAGCAGCTGATGGCTGCTGGTGGCGCGGCACAAACAATCGGYAGGGAACAGATTTATGGATCTTCCAGGGCTGAGGGTGGAGGTGGTGTTAAAACTCTTATCTGTAGACGAGGCCCAGCGAGGTAGGAATGATAAAAATCACTTATTGTGAGAATGGACAAGACTTTGACCTATAAGCTAATGAAAAGTTGAAAATTGGGCCACTCAGCTGTTTTTTTTATCCCTATCAGACTGACACATCTGGAAAGATGCAGATCATTAAGTACAGAAGAGGAAGAGATGTTAATTTTTACTTCSTTTGTGTTTCTTTAACCGACATCAGCCAATACAAATGTAACTATAACTAATTTATTTTATAGATATTTTTGCTTAAATATGATCAGGAAGTAGCAGAGAGTCATCTCARCTTGTAGTCCAAGCTTGACATCTTTGCTCAGATCTACTTCTTATGGTCAATTTATGGTATTTAGGAGGATTTGGACCCAGGACTGCAGACCGATAAGGCAACACTCAAAAATAAAACTGGATTATATTGTAAAAAAAATAAATAAATAAAACAAAAATGCTGACATGGCAGCAAAATTTACAAAGAAACAGAGGATCAAACACAAGGAGGCATGAAGTGATTTAAGAAGGGTGACATAGGCTGTGGCGATGAGGAGAAGTGCTGCAGCTGTGGTGCAGGTGACCAGAAACTGACTGAGGAGGAGGTCACAAAAACTTATATTCATAGACTAAAACACATCAGTCATATTTAAATTTGTAAGGTGTTAAACTCTAAAGTATAGAAGCATCATTTTKATGTTTTGAATGTAACAAAATAAAAGTTATGATTTAAAAATAAATACTTAATAACAGATCTTAATAAAATGACTTAAGCGCTTTAACAGTACCCCTCTGGAAACGAGTCCTTTCAGACAACAGGTCTTCAACACGAGTGAAATTAAGATTTAAAGAAGCGTCTTTAACTTGAGCTTTGTTTTCTTTTCTGTCCTGCGTTGGTTTTTGCTAATCAAAACCTGCAGGAAGAGCTGGATCCAGTGTTCAAAGTGAATATAGGTGAAAGTTTAACTGTATTTCTGCGGTGACACACAGTTACCTCTCAAACACTAACATCAGTGAATCACACCACCCGGTCACACCACAAGTCCTGACCCCAAAACTCCCTGCTCTCCCTCTCAAACAAACACACACACACACACACACACACACACACACACACACACACACACACACACACACA